GTAGTTCACTTCATTCCGTGGGCATTGCAGTACTAAATTGGCTGTTTGTAGCACAAGCTTTGTAACCGTTGTGTTCAGACAGCTGCAGTCGGGGTAGGAATTAAATAGGTCTGACCTTCTTTTGGTCAGCTTGCAGTCAAAGTGTTGAGTGCAGCCATGTTTCATGAGCTGAAGCAGATTTCCGTGTAGTTTGCATGCTGGCTTTAAAAGTGGAACTATGGGTGAACTATGAAATTACCTTAACAGAGCAGTTTTTTTTTTTGTTTTTTTTGCCAGTGCCACTTTTATTTTAATAGGGTAACACTTTATTCTCATGAGAATAACACGACAATGTTCCCCCTGTGGACATTGGGTGTTTTTTAAATAGGCTTTAAATTGTTGGTTACATAAAGCCTATACTTTTAATATCTACAAGGCAGGTTTTTTGTATATTTTATATGGTTTCAAAATTTGCACTAAAAAACCAAGTGACCATTCTAAGCTCTGCTGTAAGAGTTAAATGGTTCGTCCCGATCCTTCTGACTGCCACATTTGCTAGACAACTTGGTCTGTTAGAGGAAGCGGAAATGGCATATCTAGTAGAACAGAGGTCTGTGATCAAATTCAAATAAAATATTTACTAATAATTTTTGACCTAACTTTTGCATCTTGCTTCACATACATTGCAGTTCAAGCTGTCCCAGCTGCGTCCCCTACTCTGTGCAAAATACTTGCTTATAGCATACTTCAGGGCTAGTTGATGCCAGATGCAGTTGTGATGCCGTCTGTTCAGTTTGGCAGCTGCATCACAATGCTTTCCCATGGGATTTCTGGTGCTCTGTTAACACCAGTGCCTTCAGTTCTGAAGCAGTCATAAAAAATCTTGCTTGCACATTTTAGCTGCACCTGATAGTAAAGGAACCCATCAAAACACTTCAAAAAAACATGCAAACGCACTGGACTGCACATGAAAGCCCATTTTAAGCTTAAGTGTTAAATAGTGGTAAAACACCTGCGCTGACGCATACAGTTCTGATAGTTATGGTGTGAACTGGCTCTTAATGAACTGTGCCAATATGGGGCAATCTGACACCATTGGAGGAGAGCTCAATTTCTAGAAGAATCTTAATTTATTTTTACACAAGTAAAATTGGAGGCACTTGCAAAAACACAAACTAATGCAGTTTCTCAACAGCACGAACACAGCACATATGCCCCCTCTTTCTGCCTATTTTTTTGTGGTTGGCACTCCTGCCTTGCAGCATTGTGGTCCTTGATTCAAATCTTAACCAGGGCACCACCTGCATGAAGTTTGCATGGCGTTTGCGTGCGTTTCCTCTGGGTTACTCCCACACCAAAAACATGCTGGAAGGTTATTTGTCTCCTGTCTAAATTTGCTGGAAGGTTATTTGTCTCCTGTCTAAATTTGCCCAAGTATGTATGAATGTGAGATGGGACCTTAGATTGCAAGCTCCCTGAGGGAGGGGGCGGACGTGACTAGTATGTCAAGCTCTGCATAAATTCTGGGCACTACATAATTGGCTGAAATAAAGGAAACCTTTCCTGATAATCACGGAGGCTGCCATTGCTCGCTTTCATACTGCCAGTCATTAACCCAGAACATGTTGCAAATGAGGGCTTATGACTTTCCTCCTCTGTATTTGTTCTGGGTCATGGACTCTTGTACTGAGTCAGCATTTCAGATCACTCATTGTCAAAGGCAGTTGGCAATGGCAGCCCTTACGCCTAGGTGTGAACCCAGCCTATTGAATATGCATGTTTGTCGCGCGCGCGACAAACGCCCGTTTCCGGGGGGCTACTTGCGAGACAAACGCCCCAAAGAAGTACATGTACTTTGGGCGTAGGCCGTTTTGTATCGCATTCGGATGGGCGGAAATACGGTAAGGTGTGAACCAGACCCATTGAATACAATGGGATTTAGATGCTTGAGCGTTTTGTAGAGCGTTCGTCGAGAGTTGAACGCGCTACAAAACGTTCAGGTGTGAACCAGGCCTTAAAGTTCTCTCACAGTTTCTCTTGTGTGGTTAGTACTGCGATGTCTTGAAGGTGAATAAAGGATTGTATGAAGAATGGGAGACTTATCTTCTGCCTTGCTTTCTTTCTGTAGTGTAATTTAGAAGTAGAAGCGTTCATGCCATTCTTCTACATTCGTGATTAAACCATTGCGGAAAGGTTGTAGGTTAACCGGGCATAACCCGTTCCCGGTATGCAGTCTTTCTGATAAGCCAACTTTTTTCCATTCTGATAATGGATGTCTGGGTGTGTCTGCCTTCCGCCTGACAGGAAATCTAATAGAGGGACTTGTTGTGTGAGCAGTCCTTTGTCCAGGGCCAGTCTATTCACTGCTTGTAGTTTAGTGCTTCCTATGGCTGTGTTTTCTGTATTCCAGCTCTGGTTTCAGTGCCTAGAGCAGCTATATGTATGAGGTCATAGACTGTAAATCTTCCCCGGCCCCCCTCCCCCTGCATTTCACAGCAGCTATCGGAGCAATGCTAGAGATGATTAACACACTGACCTGCGATACTGGGTCATTGTTGCTCCATTACTCAATCCACAGCATGTAGGAAGTAAAAAATCTATAGCTTTGTATATGCTTTGAGCTGTTAAATGAGCCTACAGCATTATTTGCGGTGTTCTAGTCAAAGCATCCATTTTCTACTTCAGAATATGTTAGTGCAATATGAAGAAATAAACTAGAGTTCGTTATAGAGGACATTAAACGGTTTACAGCAGCCAACCCCCTCTTTGGACTTATCAATGTCTCTTTAAAGACATGCATGCACATGGGGTTAAAATTTTGTAGAAACTATCAAACTTCTAGATCACTTTTTGTGTTATGGATGCCAGTTCAAAGCAGAAACTCCCATGTAGAGCAGGGGTAGACAACCTTGGCATTCCAGCTGACAATGCAAATACTGTTATGCCTATACCACTAGGAGTAATGGTTGTGGCCATCAGGGCCTTGCAATGCCTCATGGGACTTATAATTTCAAAACGACTGGAGGGCTGAAGTTGCCTACCCCTGATGTAGTGTTCATTAACCTAATCCAGTATGCCAAAGCTGTGAGAACGAGGTGCTAACCACTTGACCATCTTCATTCTTTTAAAGCGTTACTTGCCAATGCAAGTCAAAGTAACAAGTTTGCCCTCCCCAGCAAAATGTAATAACGTTCCTTTCACTTTGTTCCACCATCAGGAGCCAATTACAGTCCTATGTATTATGAGTCACCAGTCTACTGATAACAGGTTTTGCCTTCAGCAGCTTTTTTTTTTTTTTTTTTTTGCATCAGTCTGGGAGATTTTGAACACAGATTTTGGTAAGGATACTGGTGTTGGCTTTAGGCATTCCCAGACTGCAGCTGAAGTGGGTTTTGGAGATCCTTCGGCCTCCTCTGCCTTTCGGTTCAGTCGAACTGAAGAGCTGCTGTACCGGCTATTCACAATAGCACCCACAGCAGCTGAGCCAAAATGCTTGCACTTTGGCTCGACTGAGCCAAAGTGGCAGCTGAAGCGCGGAAAAAGGTTGGCCGAAGC